CGCCCAGTGTAAGGCGCCTAGACATCTGCCTAGGGGTAAGTTACTACCCCTGCCCGTTCCACAACGACCATGGTCTCACCTCTCGGTGGATTTCATTACTGACCTTCCTCCTTCACAGGGGAACACCACTATACTGGTCGTTGTGGACCGGTTTTCTAAGGCCTGTCGTTTGCTCCCCATGCCGGGCCTTCCTACTGCCCTGCAAACCGCCGAAGCACTAGTCACCCATGTGTTCCGGCACTACGGGGTACCCGAGGATATTGTGTCTGATCGGGGTCCCCAATTTACCTCCAGGGTCTGGAGAGCCTTTATGGAGCGGTTGGGGGTCTCGGTGAGCCTCACCTCGGGTTACCACCCGGAGAGTAATGGGCAGGTGGAACGCGTGAACCAGGATGTGGGTAGGTTTCTTAGAACATACTGCCAGGACCGGCCGGAGGAGTGGGCAAGGTATGTTCCCTGGGCCGAGATGGCCCAGAATTCCCTACGCCATTCCTCCACTAACCTAACCCCTTTTCAATGTGTGCTAGGTTACCAGCCGGTTCTGGCACCTTGGCAGCAGAGCCAGATCGAGGCTCCTGCGGTGGATGAGTGGGCGCGGCGCTCGGAGGAGACATGGAACGCTGCACACGTCCACCTGCAGCGGGCCCTCCGACGTCATAAGGCGAGCGCCGATCTCCACCGCAGTGAGGGACCGGTGTACGCACCTGGTGATCGAGTCTGGCTCTCTACCAGAAACCTGCCCCTCCGCCTGCCCTGTCGGAAACTGGGTCGGCGGTTTGTAGGGCCATTTAAAGTCCTGGGAAGGTTGAACGAGGTGTGTTACAAATTACAACTGCCTGTTGAATATAAAAGTATTAACCCCTCGTTCCATGTGTCCCTTCTCAGGCCGGTGGTAGCTGGCCCACTCCAAGAAAGTGAGATCAGGGAGACTCCTCCGCCCCCATTGGACATCGAGGGGGCACCGGCGTACACTGTGAGGTCCATCTTGGATTCGAGACGTCGGATGGGGGGTCTCCAGTATCTAGTGGAGTGGGAGGGGTACGGTCCGGAGGAGCGGTGCTGGGTGCCGAGGAGTGACATCTTGGACCCGTCTCTCCTGACGGAATTCCATCGTGGGCACCCGACGCACCCTGCTCCGCGTCCTCCGGGTCGTCCCCGAGGCCGGAGTCGGCGCACGTCTGGAGCCGCGCGTCAAGGGGGGGGTACTGTCACGGTTTCGGCCGAGGCTGCCTCTCTCCCTTGTTCGGGCAGGCTTCGGCGTTCGTTGTCTCCGGAATACTAGCTGCCACCGTTGTATGTTTCATGTTCGTTTGCTTTTGTCTGTTTGTTGTCACACCTGTTCTTGTTTAAGCCTAATTAGTGTTCTATAAGTTTCTCGTTGTGTTTGTCTAGTGTTGTGTGTTATTGATTTTTGTCAGTCGTGTATAGGGCGTGTTTCCTGTATTTTGCTCGGTTGAGCTTCCCTCCACTGTTGGAGTATTTACGCACCTGTTTGTGCGCTTTTGTTTTGTTCGCCTTCGTGCGTATTTCGCCTTCGGGCAAGAGTGGACCTATTGCCGTGTTTGGCGATCACTAAAGTCTGTTGGATTATCCGTCTGTGTCCTGCGTTTGATTCCACCACTGCACCCACCTACAGCACGCGTTGACAACGACACGTTTTCCAAAAACAGTGCACACTGTTCTTTTGAGGTACATTTGCTCCCATTTGGTGGGTGTGGCGAGGTGTGGCCTGATCAATATGGGTGTGACCATTTGAAATCGCCAAAATCGTGCAGCACACCTCCTTACACAATCACCCTCTCGGCACCATAATCACGCCGTTCTCCAACTGGTCGTTTAGTACAGTACCGTTTCCGTTGAATTAAACGTTGAAAACCACTCTGTCATACTGAATGCACCCCAGGTATGCATAGGTATGGAGAGCATGTAGTCAAATATAGTATACCCCTATGCACAGATCTGAGAGGATTTGACAGGTGTAAGCAATATCCCACTGGGCACACACTGGTAGAATCAACGTTGTTTCCATGTCATTTCAATGAAATTACGTTGAACCAACGTGGAATAGACGTTGAATTGATATCTGTGCCCAAGTAAGATGGTAATAGCCCACCTTGCCCTACGAGGCTAGGTGGAAGTTTCACTATATTGCTTATAACAAATCCTCTCAGACCTCCACAAATGCCTAGGGTGTAGGGCTTAGGGGTCCATTTGGGGTTGGGCCTTCATCATAGAGGTGGATAGAGGGCCCTTCTTTGCATCTGTGCCATAATGGCTTCTGTGACAGCATGGGCAGCGCCATTGAGGGGTTTCTTCACTTTAAAGTAGCCAATTGCTTCTTCTTCTTCTTCTTCTTCTTCTTCTTCTTCTTCTTCTACGAGTCAGTAAACAAATGTAAAGTGTGCATACTGCCTCCTGTAGTGTGTTGTCTGAACAGGTATAAAGCAAAGTTGTTGATTTACTGCCACCTGCAGTAATGGAATGTTTGCTCAGGAGTATAATTCATTTTCTGATCCTTCCTGATGACCAGGGCCCAGATTCACAAAACCTTCTTAAGAATACATTTCTTCTTAACTGCGATTTTTTCCTTAACGATAGACTTATGAAGAAGGTAAGCAAAGTTGCTATTCCTCAAAAAGGTTATTGGTAATGTTCTTGCGCTATTTCTTATGTTTCTCCTTGAGCAAAAAGTTAAGAAGAATTTAGAATATTGAAAATAAAGTTTTTGGATTTGTTCTTAATTCCAAGATAGCTAAACCCTTGTCTTAAACTCAGGGCACTGAGAGAATACGCTCATCAAAGCAATTTAATATGTTTAATTCACTCACAAACTTCATCTGAAAGTTTCAGTATTTATTATTTTAAACCCAAGAACAGTAACAGTTTTAGAACAGTAATCTCAGTAGGAAATATGCTAATATGATTGCCATTGCTAGCTAGATAGCTAGCTAAATCGGTTGCCTAGCAACAAACATCTTAAGAAGATTTATAAGAAGATATTTGAGGAGTTTGTGAGAAAATCATTCAATCTTAAGAATTTGTTGAGGAATTGCACTTACGAACTATCTTATGAAATTCTTATTTTTTTTCATAAGCAGCCTCTTAAGTTTTTGCGTAAGAAGTGTTTTGTGAATCTGGGCCCAGGATGGAATTATGTGATCCCTCCTTAACCCATAGGAAGTCCCACCCAATTGACAAAATAACTTCTTCAAAATGGTGAAAGTCCTCAATAGTGCAACCTATGCTAAAACAGGCTTTGGGGCACTAGAGCTGTCTATCCAAGTCTATGGTATACATACAGGTTTAAAATCTCTGTGATACAGTTCTGACCGTGTTCACTGTAACACCTTGGAAAAATAATAATTGAAATACAGTGCTATGAAAAAGTATTTGCCCCCTTTCTAATTTTCTCTACTTTTGCATATTTGTGATACTGAATGTTATCAGATCTTCAACCAAAACCTAATATTAGATAAAGGGAACATAAGTGAACAAATAACACAACAATGACATATTTATTTCATAAACAAAGTTATGCAACACCCAATTCCCCTGTGCGAAAAAGTAATTGCCCACTTACACTCAATAACTGGTTGTGCCACCTTTAGCTGCAATGACTCCAACCAAATGCTTCCTGTAGTTGTTGATCAGTCTCTCACGTCGCTGTGGATAAATTCTGGCCCACTCTTCCATGCAGAACTGCTTTAACTCAGTGACGTGTGGGTTTTCAAGCATGAACTGCTTGTTTCAAGTCCTGCCACAACATCTCAATTGCGATTAGGTCTGGACTTTGACTAGGCCATTCCAAAACTTCCAATTTGTTGCTTTTTAGCAATTGTCATGTAGACTTGATTGTGTGTTTTCGATCATTGTCTTGCTGCATGACCCAGCTGCGCTTCAGTTTCAGCTCACCGACGGATGGTCTGACATTCTCCTGTAGAATTCTCTGATACAGAGCAGAATTCATGGTTCCTTCTATTAAGGCAAGTCGTCCAGGTCCTGAGGCAACAAAGCATCCCCAAACCATCACACCACCACCACCATGCTTGACCTTTGGTATGATGTTCTTACTGTGGAATGCAGTGTTTGGTTTTCGCCAGGCATAATGGGACCCATCTCATCCAAAAAGTTGAGCTAGCTTTGAATCAATAACTTTTTGTATTGACCAATATTATTCCCAGGAGTGTCTAGGATGCCCATATTCCACTAATGGTAAGAACAAGATAGATATCCCTTAGCAACCAATTTAACCTCTTAATGGTCTCAGACAAAGGTGGAGGGTCTTATAATGTATGTATGGTTTTTACAGTAGCCTTCAAGTTGTCATACACAGCAGATTCTAGTTACAGTATATTATTCATCTAAGTTTTCTGTACTACCAACCATTGACCGATCAAAAACTGTAACTGTGATCTGTGTGACTCTTTTACTCTGTGTGCAATCTGTGCATGACATTGACCTCTACAGAGACCTCTACAGAGATGTTTAGCAGGAACAAGAAGCCCTATTCATACCTGAAATCACACACAAACTCAATCTGATTGAACAGAAGAGTAAGAGGAATTTGGCAGCCTTTGGCAGTATTTGGAATGGTGCTACAAAAAGAGTGGCCATATTATAGGCTATAGTGTGTAAGGTTAGTGAGTAGGCTATCATGAATTAGCACTGTTGAAATTATTTTGTAAAAAATCCTTGGTTTTATAAAAATAGATAGTTTTACTTAGTTTTACCTTTACAAGTATCTATAATCAGGGATTTGTTTACGTTGAGGATTCAAGGGAGGAGGTAGGCCTATGTCTGCATTTTATACAGAGCCTGTACCGGTGAATGTGTACACAGTGGGGTGCCGCGGGAATGCCATTTACACGACGTGATTCAGTTGAGGTGGGGTTTCCCAGATGTAGGCTACCTTTGCTTACCTGTCATATTGAAATCTCAAGGCTATGAAAAATCTCCGATAGGTACCACACTGGTTTGAACTAGATCGACATATTGACAAAATGGAATCGCCTGTGAAGACAGGTTTCCATAGACTGGAGATAAAGAAAACAACATGGGATGTTCCGGAGCAATATATCGAGCTGAAAGCAGTTGGCTCCGGGGCTTACGGGACAGTATGGTGAGTTGACTTTGTGAATGGGCAATTATTGGTAGCATTCCTGGAATAACTTCGCGCCAAACCAGCATGCATTTCATATACTTAAAATATACCACTGTATAAATACAGTTGTTTTCATTGAAAATATGTAGAAAATAAACAGAATAAGGGGACAACTTTACCCTATAATGGTTTATTAATTTCTTATTAGCTACACACGCAAAACTCTACATTATTGGATATTGTGTAATATAAGCTTTCTTTCGTAGCTTTTTTTTTTATAACGAAAGACTCAGGACATTGCTAACAGAGGCACTATTGCCTCAAGGAAATTATCAAGTTGAAGCAGGTCTCGAGATGAGACAAGAATGTTGCACTCCCAACCTGGAGCAAGCCCCATAATAACACATCTTGAAACCCAGTTTTACCTCTGCCAGATATCGGTAATATAGAATGAACACACAAGCGTCTGAAATGTTATTTGTAGTCCTACTTATAATAATTTGGCAAACTGACGTGAAAGCTAGTCAAAGATTCTGCAGTCTTTGATCTCTACTGACTTGAAATTTTACTATTGGCATTTTATATCCCCCTTGTCTACATTCTGTGACATAATTATTCTATCCAACACTAACGTTATTTGACTTTGAACTTGTTTTATTAATTAGTTCTGCTATTGACCAGCAGACTAAGGAGAAGGTGGCCATAAAGAAGCTCTATCGTCCTTTTCAGTCCCTGATCCACGCTCAACGGGCCTACCGTGAACTAAGACTGTTACGCCATATCCAGCATGACAATGTAAGTCCTTGTTACCTACTATAATAGTGGACATCTGAGATACACTCCCCTGGACCGAGATTCCGGTCACTCAAAAATGAAAAGCCATTACAATGCAGTTATTGTCATTCATTCTACTTCATATCAGAATCATTTGTAGTCTTATGGACACTATTCAGTATGTTGAATATCAGTCAATCAAAGACATCCAGTTTTATTGCTTTGCCTCCTTCCTATGTTTATTTATGTTTGGTGGAGAGGAATAGCGCCTCTTATGGGCCAGTGTTTTCACGCAACACTTTCACAGTGTTATCTTACTCTTGTACTTTGTCAGGCCTCCTTGTACTACTGGCGATGAATTAGTATTACTGCAATGTAAATGTTCGTGTGGTCACTTTTTGTGGGAATAAACCCTTCATTACTTTACTTCTTCCTGTTGTTTTCCTAAAGGTGATCTGCCTCCTCAATGTCTTCACACCTGATTTCTCCCTGGAGAAATTCCAGACGTTGTAAGTGGGGAGCTGTGAACCGCATTCCTCTGCCAGTTGTCACAGCTTGTTGAGACAGGCTGCTGAGAGTGTATCTTGAAGTTTGAGTTTGATCGTGCGTGTGTGTGTGTGTGTACTTGTTTTCCTACATTATCAGGACCCCAATGTCCTACATTTTTAATCAGAATGTCCTGAAAAGGTAGGAAAACAATAACTTTTTTGAAAAGCCAGGATTAGGTTTAGGGTTTTGGGGTTAAGGTTTTTTCAGGTTAAGGTTAGGGTTAGGTTAAGGGTTAAGTTTAAGGTTAGGGTTAGGGTTAGGTTTAGGGTACACAGCCTTTCTGAAATTAGCCCACCCAACTATCTCATCCCCATATTGTTATTTATTTTGCTAATTTGCACCCCAGTATCTCTATTTGCACATCATCTTTTGCACATCTATCATTCCAGTGTTATACGAAATTGTAACTATTTTGCACTATGGCCTATTTATTGCCTTACCTCCATATCTTACTACATTCGCACACACTGTATATATATTTTCTGTTGTATTTTTGACTTTATGTTTTGTTTACCCCATATGTAACTCTGTGTTGTTGTTTTTATCGCACTGCTTTGCTTTATCTTGGCCAGGTCGCAGTTGTAAATGAGAACGTGTTCTCAACTGGCTTACCTGGTTAAATAAAGGTAAAAAAAAAAAAAAAAAAAAAAAAAAGATTTAGGGTTAGGGGTTAGGAAAAATAGGATTTTTTTAATGGACTAAAATGTTTACACTCCAAAAAGTCCAGAAATGTCACGAAAACAAAGCAGTATGTGTGTGTGTGTGTGCAGGTTTGTTCATGTTTGTTTGTGCTTACTTACTTGGGCCCTTTGCTCCTTTGTATGTGCTTGGGTATGTGATATAATCTGTTAGCTGAGTTAAAATATATGTATTATGTCTGTGTTATGATTGCAACCATGTGAGACATAGTATATGATGTTACCTGCATTTTTTGTTTTGTAATAATTAGTATACATTTGTAACACTTATTTGGAGGAGGTAGCTTTAGTACGTGATGTATTGTATCATTCCCTTTCCCTACTTTTTTTCTCTGTCACAGTTACATGGTGACACTGTTTGTATCTGACTTCCTGTCTCTCTCCTCCATGTTACAGTTACATGGTAATGCCCTTTGTGGCTCAGGACCTCGGTCGCATCATGAAGAGGAGGAGACTGACCGATCGCATCATCGTTTACCTCTTCTACCAGCTGCTACGTGGCCTGAAGGTGTTCACCACTACTAAGAAATCATTCTTTTATATGGGGCGACAGGTAGCCTAGCGGTTAGAGAGGCGAGCCAGCAACTGGAGGGTTGCCATTTTGAATCCCGGGTCTGTGAGGGAAGTGATCCGTCGGGAAGTGAGCTGGCAACCGGAGGGTTTCTGGTATCAAATCCTAGATGCCTTTGCCTGTCGTTGTGCCCTTGAGCAAGGCACGACAACCGCTCCACAGGCGCCCAGTGTGGCAGCCCCCTGCTCCAACCTCTCCAACCTGTATATGCATGTATTTTCGGAGGGGATAGGATAAAGTGGAAGTCCAATTTTGGTTGGACCTTGTGTACAATTGACAAATAAAGTGATCTTAATCTTAAATCTTAATCTTATACTAATCTGAAAATAATGTTTATTTATATTTTTCTATCCTTTAGTATATCCATTCTGCAGGGATCATCCATCGGGTTTGTATTAGGTTCTTATGAATATACTTTAAATACATTTCTAAGTACATTTTAGTGGGCAGATCATATAACATCCTACATATTTTTTATTTATTCTTCAGGATCTAAAACCTGACAACCTCGCTGTGAATGAGAACTGTGAATTAAAGGTAAATAAGAATTTGGCAACAAGCTGCATTTATATGTTTAATTATACTGTACCTTTTATTGTAAAACCTTCAGACAGTAAGATAAACATAAAGTACTTGATTTAGGAAGATAACACACTGGTGTTTAAAGACTACACTTCCTTGTTTGATTGTTATGATTACATATTAGCCTCTCTTTTTATAAGCTTCAATTTACTTTTCTTTCACATTCTCTTGCTTTCTCTTTCTATCTCAGATCCTGGACTTTGGTCTAGCAAGACATGCAGAGAGTGAGATGACAGGCTATGTGGTGACACGCTGGTACAGGTCACCAGAGATCATCTTCAACTGGATGCACTATAGCCAATCAGGTGACCTATCACCAACACACAATAAAGACCTTTTCATTTATTTGGGCTTCACATTCCTTGCATTGCTCTTCTGGGGTTATCTTACTCTTGTACTATTGGTTCAGTGGTATCTCATGTGTTATTTATTCTGTGTGTGTCTGTCTACCTCTCAGTGGACTTGTGGTCTGCAGGCTGCATCCTGGCTGAGATGATCACAGGCCAGGTTCTGTTCCCAGGCAATGACAGTATCCTCTCAAGTTTTCTCTTAACACCTGTATAACTCATTAAGTTTACATCAACACAAAAACATATATTCTGTACCCCATTTGTTGTATATTACTGATGTACTTATCATGTAGTTATCTTATGTATTAGTTATCATTGTGCAGTTGCACAAGGGACAACACCAATCATGTAGCAGACTGTTCACTGATCAGTGCTCTAAGTATTTTGCTTTCAGTGGTTTCCACTGTCTGCCCTGTGTCCCTACACCCTCCTTGACCATCCTGTTCAGGCATTGACCAGCTGAAGAAGATCCTTAACGTTACAGGAACACCACCGTCCTCCCTGGTGCAGAAGATGCAGAGCAAAGATGTAGGCCTACTGTCATCTCAATCTAATGGCAACTCTTCAGCTCGCAACTATTCAATGTAGCTTGGTGTTGAATTCACAAGTATGCTCACTATGGTGGTAACTTGTAAGAAAAAGGAGATAACATTGAAAAAATACAGTTGACAGTTGAACATTGTTGGTATTGTCTTGCAGGCTCGCTCATATGTACAGAGTCTCCCTATCCAAAAGAAGAAGAACTTCAAGGAGGTCTTTCCCTCCTTGGATGTAAACGGTGAGTTGGTCTATCATCACTGTGCTAATGGTACATCCTGCATGGTGGTTATGAATATCTCAGTTCTTCAGTGATGTTTTTCTAATTGTATAGTGAACAGTTGAGGGCTGGGTTGACTCTGTTTTCCATACTCTACTTCCTAATGCCTTCCTTTCTCTATGTAATATTTCTCTATCCTCTCTCTGTCTCTGTCCTGTGTGTTCCTCTGTCCAGCTGTGAATCTGCTGGAGAGCATGCTGCTGCTGGACCCAGAGACCAGGATGACGGCTAAAGAGGGCCTCTCACACCCCTACCTCTCTGAGTTCCATGACCCAGAATCTGAACCCGACTCCCCGTCGTACGACGACTCCTTTGAAAGCCTGAAGCTTGATGTGGGAGAGTGGAGTAGTGAGTATATCTTCTCTATGACTGATTACCTGGTTGCACATGTTGATGGCATGTATCCTGAATTTCCCACTGCTCTTTGAGACCTACAGTTACAGTTCTGCAAAGTTTCCCTTTCAGGAAGTGAAATTCTAAAATACTGTATGATGCGATTCATGTGATACAATTCTAAAATGCTCTGTCTTTTCCTGTTAGGTCTGATCCACATGGAGATTATGGCTTTTGACCCCAGCAACCCCAGTGCAACTGCAATGTAGTGGACAGATGCTACAGAGCACTGGCACCCCCCAGTTTTGGAACCATGGGGGTTAGCATATGAACTATAATAATAATAATAATAATATGCCATTTAGCAGACGCTTTTATCCAAAGCGACTTACAGTCATGTGTGCATAACTACATGACAAACTAGAATAACACGTTATTACATGTTATAAAAAGTTTGTGTATCACATTTCACAACATGATATATGACTTTATGAAACATGAAACATCATACTGTATGTCAGCATTTTTATGGATCCCTCATATTGAAAGGGTAGGTCATGCACTCTTAGAAAAAAGGTGCTATCTAGAACCTAAAAGGCCATATTAGCATGGGTAGCGCCATTGAGGGTTACCACCATTTTAATGTAGTCAATTCAGTGGGACTTCCAACATCATTGGCTGATCCCTCTTGGTGACCCTATTGGAGTCATGTCCAACCAACCGGGTCATCAGGAGGGATCAGCCAATCGTGAAGAAGAAAATGGACTACTTTAAAATGGAGATAGCCTCAATGGCGCTGCCCATGCTGTCACAGACACTATAATGGCACAGATACAAAGATGAGTCATCTATCGGTCTCTATGGTAGAACCCTATTGGGTTCCATCTAGTGTAGGCTTGGCCCTAATTTATGTGCTCTCTGACACCTGGAGTTCGAAGACAGAGGACAATGCCAAAGGACTAGTCAGCCCTTCCCACACTAAGGGGCCAAAATGTTTCTCTCTGTTACAGTATTCAGAGGACTGACTATTGAATGTGATATAATAATACTATAGTATCCATGTCTGGTATCTATCTGAAACTTATTCACTGAGGATAACTCTGATGCTATATATATGTATGTATGATCTCTGTGGTTACTTGTATCTGTATAGGGTGAACTCTAAATTACTCTCAAAGAGGTACTATTGTCCTCTCAGGAATTCTGTCTCATTTACAGTGGTCCAATCCCCCACACAAGCATTTAGATGCTGTGACACCCTGTGGAGATTGGGTGGTCAGGTTACACTGTAAACTTGGTATCGTTTGATTGGTCAATGGTGGTTGGTCTTGGGTTGAAAGGTTACACCTTCAGATGTTATAAATGGAATTAAATGCATTTGTTCTCTCTTATCCTGTTTCCAGCCATGGAGGAAGGTTGTATGATCAATTCTAATTTCCTAGGCTTCTTGGCCTCTGGCCTAGTAAGCTTATCTTTGTTCAAGCTTTGTCTTGCAAGTTAACCTTAGGATCTATATGCCTAGAATTATGCTTTGTTAATGTCAGTATTGCCTTGTAACTTAAGCTTTATGCCTTGTATGTGAACCCGTTATTAAATAATGCTTGCTTTGATATTCGCGTCTCATGACAATTCATTGATCTTAGTCAGCTAAACGCATAATACCTGACTTCATGGTTCAACTGTAGTCTCTTCCATAATGCTAATCATCTTTATGCAGTCAGATAAACACGTGAAAAATGTATGATATCACATACACACAAAAAAAAAATGTATGCACGCATGACTGTAAGTCGCTTTGGATAAAAGCGTCTGCTAAATGGCATATTATATTATATACACTACCAGTCAAAAGTTTGGACACACCTACTCATTCAAGGGTTTTTCTTTATTTTTACAATGTTTTACATTGTAGAATAATAGTGAAGATATCAAAACTATGTGTGACACTCTGGCTCTAGGACTTTTGTATTGAGCTAGAGTGTATGTTGTTTTTGTTGGGGATTTGGGTGTTTTTCTATGTTGGTAGTTCTGTTGGGTGTGTTTCTATGTTTGCAGGTCTATGGGTTATATTTCTAGGTTGTGTGTTGTAGTCAATGACTCCCAATCGGAGGTAACGAGTGTCAGCTGTCGGCTCGTTATCTCTGATTGGGAGACATATTTAAACTGTCAGTTTTCACCTTTGTTTTGTGGGTTATTGTTTCCGTGTTGCTGTTAGTCTGTATCAGTGTTTGAACTTCACGTATCGTCATTTGTTGTTTTCTTCGTGGTTGCTTTAATTAAATAAAGTCATCATGTTCACTCCACGCGCTGCGTATTGGTCCGCTCCTTTAGACGATCGTGACAGAATAACCCACCGCAAAAGGACCAAGCAGCGTAACAAGCGTGTCCAGGAGCCGAGGGTCTGGACATGGGAAGAGTTATTGGACGGAAAGGATCCTTGGGCACAACCGGGAGAATATCGCCTCCCTCGTGAAGAGCTGGAGGCAGCCAAAGCCGAGAGGAGGTGGTACGAGGAGGCAGCGCGAAGGCAAGGCTGGAAGCCCGTGGAAGAGAGGCAACCCCAAGTAATTTTTTGGGGGGGGCACATGGCTTGGGCAGCTGAGCAGCAGGAGGCTGCCACAAGGCAGAGTCAGAGGGCTGCCAGGTTAAGGGGGCTGACGGAGGCAGAGAAGGGACGGATTCAGTGGGCTACCAGGTCAAGGGGGCTACTGGGTAAAGCAGGGAAGGAAGGTGTTGAGGCACGGCGTGAGGTACTGGGGTGTGTAACCAGTTCGGTCCGGCCCGTTCCTAGTCCCGAGGTGCAGCCAGTAGTGTGTGTTCCCCGTACGGTACGGCCTGTTCCGGTCCCTCGCACTAAGTGTAAGGTGCGCGTCGCCAGTCCGGTTCGGCCTGTTCCTGCCATACGCACCAAGTATGCGGTGCGCGTCGCCAGCTCAGCCCGGCCTGTTCCTACTCCACGCACCAGGGATACGGTGCGCTTCGCCAGCCCAGCCCGGCCTGTTCCTACTCCACGCACCAGGGATACGGTGCGCTTCGCCAGCCCAGCCCGGCCTGTTCCTACTCCACGCACCAGGGATACGGTGCGCTTCGCCAGCCCGGCCCGGCCTGTTCCGGCCACTCGCACCAGGGATACGGTGCGCGTCGCCAGCCCCGCCCGGCCTGTTCCTGCTCTCCGCACTAGGCGTGAGGTGAGTCCCCAGGGTCCAGCATGCCCTGTTCCGGCTCCCCGCACTAGGCGTTATGGGAGTCCCCAGGGTCCAGCATGCCCTGTTCCGACTCCCCGCACTAGCCCTGAGATGCGTGTCCTCAGCCCGGTACCTCCAGTTCCGGCACCACGCATCAGGCCTACGGTGCGTCCCCAGGGCCAAGCATGCCCTGTTGCTTCTCCCCGCACTAGCCCTGAGATGCGTGTCCTCAGCCCGGTACCTCCTGTTCCGGCACCACGCACCAGGCCTACGATGCGCCTCAGACGGCCAGAGTCTGCCGTCTGCCCAACGGGGCCTGAACTGCCCGTCTGCCCAAAGCCTGCAAAGCCGCCCGTCTGCCATGAGCCATCAGAGCCGTCCGCCAGACCAGAGCCGCTAGAGCCTTCTGCCAGACAGGATCAGCCAGAGCCTTCCGCCAGACAGGATCAGCCAGAGCCTTCTGCCAGACAGGATCAGCCAGAGCCTTCTGCCAGACAGGATCAGCCAGAGCCTTCTGCCAGACAGGATCAGCCAGAGCCTTCCGCCAGACAGGATCAGCCAGATCCGTCAGTCGGCCATGAGCAGCCAGATCCGTCAGCCAGCCATGAGCAGCCAGATCCGTCGGCCAGCCATGAGCAGCCAGATCCGTCAGCCAGCCATGAGCAGCCAGATCCGTCAGCCAGCCATGAGCAGCCAGATCCGTCAGCCAGCCATGAGCAGCCAGATCCGTCAGCCAGCCATGAGCAGCCAGATCCGTCAGCCAGCCATGAGCAGCCAGATCCGTCAGCCAGCCATGAGCCGTCCAGCCAGGATCCGCCAGAGCCGTCCAGCCGGGATCCGCCAGAGCCGTCCAGCCAGGATCCGCCAGCCAGCCAGGATCCGCCAGAGCCAGCCAGCCAGGATCCGCCATTTAGTCAGGTGCTGCCCCTTAGCTCGGTGTTGCTCCTTATCCTGGTACTGTCCCTTATCCTGGTGCTGTCCCTTAGCCTGGTACTGCCCCTTAGTCCGGTACTGCCCCTTAGTCCGGTACTGCCCCGTAGTCCGGTGCTGCCCCTTAGTCCGGTGCTGCCCCTTATCCCGGTGCTGCCCCTTATCCCGGTGCTGCCCCTTATCCCGGTGCTGCCCCTTAGGCCGATGCTGCCCCTTAGTCCGGTGTTGCCCCTTAGTCCAGGTGGGGTTAGTTGGAGGGTGGTCATTGGGAGGAGGCTACCGAAGCAGGTTGTGACTGTGGTGGGGTGGGGATCACGACCGGGGCCAGAGCCGCCACCGTGGACAGACGCCCACCCAGACCCTCCCCTAGTCCTGATGTTGGTGCGCCCGGAGTTCGCACCTTTAGGGGGGGGTACTGTGACACTCTGGCTCTAGGACTTTTGTATTGAGCTAGAGTGTATGTTGTTTTTGTTGGGGATTTGGGTGTTTTTCTATGTTGGTAGTTCTGTTGGGTGTGTTTCTATGTTTGCAGGTCTATGGGTTATATTTCTAGGTTGTGTGTTGTAGTCAATGACTCCCAATCGGAGGTAACGAGTGTCAGCTGTCGGCTCGTTATCTCTGATTGGGAGCCATATTTAAACTGTCAGTTTTCACCTTTGTTTTGTGGGTTATTGTTTCCGTGTTGCTGTTAGTCTGTATCAGTGTTTGAACTTCACGTATCGTCATTTGTTGTTTTCTTCGTGGTTGCTTTAATTAAATAAAGTCATCATGTTCACTCCACGTGCTGCGTATTGGTCCGCTCCTTTAGACGATCGTGACACTATGAAAAAGCACATATGGAATTATGTAGTAACCAAAAAAGTGTTAAACAAATCAAAATATATGTTATATTTGTGATTATTCAAATAGTCAACCTTTGCCTTGATGACAGCTTTGCACACTCTTTGCATTCTCTCAACCAGCTTCATGAGATAGTCACATGGAATGCATTCAATTAACAGGTGTGCCTTCTTAAAAGTTAATTTGTGGAATTTCTTTCCTTCTTAATGCGTTTGAGCCAATCAGTTGTATTGTGACAAGGTAGGGGAGGGGAGGGGAGGGGGGGGGGGGGGGGGGGGGGGGGGGGGGGGGATAGACCTATTTGGTAAAAGACC